AAAACCCGTTTGACCACAAACATAAGCCAGGCCAACACATGAACTTATATTTTTACATGTAGAAAATCCCGATTGGCATGCTAGAAACGTGCAGGTTTTAATGCGAATCATTGGCTGAGTTGAGATTACACGGGGAAAATTTGGTAACTAAATTGGGGTTAAAAGAAGAGAAATATGGATTTGTTCTAATCATAATATTTAAGGCACTTAACTAAGTAAAATTTGAATAAAAATTAAAACAACATGACGTTGAAAAATGTTAAAAATGATGTCTTGAAAGAAGATAAAAACTAATTTGTTGCTTATAAACTTAAATATATCTTTTAATTATTAAAATTATTAAATTAAGTTTTTAAAACTTAAATCAGATTATACTATTTATACTTTACTATTTTATTTAGATTTTTTACTAGAATTTGTACTTACAACAAAGACTTAAAAGATAATCCCCTCCACCTAGCTTAGGTTTCTGATTTTATATAAATATTAAACTAACTTTTTACTTCCATTAAGAACTTCTGTTTAAGATTCTTGTCTTTTTTTTACTTGTGCATAAATATAAGCCACGGAATTGGTTTCAAAGTCCGGAGAGTTGAAGGCGGAACCTGAGGCGAGGACACTTAAGTGCGTTCCCCGCAACATTGTCGTGGGCCGTGGAGTGTCTCTGTCAGATGCGGATGATTGCCTGGCTTTAACTGGGCATAACATACCAAGGCTTATACACATAGATATAGATCGTTAGAGCTATGTTGTAGCTACAACTCTATACGCCGCCCTCCTCATCGACTGTTGTCAACTTTGGACATTACTCACTCGGTTGAACAGCCAGCGAATTCAATTGGACGCGAAATGCGGCAAAGTATTTATCAACACGACAGTGATACCCTGTAATTTGTAGGGAATTCGAATAGTTTTAATGGGTTAATGGGCTATCAAATTATAGGGCTTACCTGAGCTTGTAATAAGCAATAATAATTGTAAGGCCGTGGATTATTTTTTCACCGTCAGTGATAATCATTCATTAGTAGGGATTGTCAATGAATAAAGGGTTAATTTTTAAAGTATATAGTTGGTTTTAGTTTGTAATTAGCAATAAAAACTTAAGCTGTTGTGTGTTATGCTGAAAATTTATTAAATTTCAATTTAAAATTTTTCAAAATCTTCGTTTTTATTATTTTTTTTTTTCCTTTTTCATAATTTTTTTTTTTTTTTTTTACTATTTTCTCTTATTTGGCTCCAGATTGCGACGCTATAACCTACGAACGACTTAAAAAAAGACAATCAATCAAACACGGCCGCGAAAAGCTTTCCAAAAGGTAAAATACCGAGCACAAAAAACAAGAACTACGCGCTTTCAGCGACAGCTAGCGAAAATACCGCAAGACTTTTTTGACAACCTAATATATGAAAATTGAAGTCAATTTCTTTATGGCTCTCGTTAATATGACCAAAAATATTCGATTTTTTCAAAAGTTCCATTTAAATGGTTTTTTACTTTTACTTTTTACCAACAAATATTTACTTTTAATACAGGCCCATGTAGCATTTGCTTTTTGAACTAACGATAATTTTGATTTTGACATTTGGAATGTCAATGTGGCAGATTTTTAGTAGAAAGTTTGCGTTTTACGAACTGTTTAAATTTACGCTTGAAGAAAATTGGAAAATTTTGATATTTTTAAAACGATTTTAAAAACGCAAATCTTTCGCGGGCCACCCTTTAAAACTAACAGGTTTTTTCTATTTAAATAAAAACAGATTTTTAAGTATTTACTTTATTAATGTCCCAATTTTTCACTTACTTTTTCATAGCCCAAGTAGTTTGGTTTTGTTACATAAAGATTAAATATATTTTTAAGCTGAAACTACAACTTATTTAACTTAACGATCGAGGTTGTAAAAATTTTTAATGATTTTCCCACAAAATATTTTTTTTATTTATTTTCTATCTCCAACGGAAGCTTGAGGTAATCTGCTTTATTGAGTGGCCCCATCAAATCTTTCCATTACCATTTTCATTTTCGCAGCGGTTTCCACTTCCATTCCAGCTTGTCCTCTGGCCAGGGAAGTTGGTTAAGATTTTCCTGGGTCGGCTGCGTTTCGACCTCGTTGCAGTAGCCGCTTGACTTAGTTCGCTGTTATTTCTTGTTAGCTTGTTTTTTTGGAGTTCATGTTGCTCTTTTTCTGAGCCAGTATTTACAAGCATGTTTAAGCGTAATGGCTGACTTTTTTATATATGATTTTTCTTCACCTTTTTTTTGTATTATTTTTTGCAAAAAGTTTCTTGCTCTTGCCTCAATCAATTCAATGTTTTCTTCAGTTTCCCGCTCATTTGCATTAAACATAAATTCAATTTAACCCGAGACGCACGTCTTTGGGAAATTGTTTTTCTCTATTTTCACCACTTTGCATATCAGGTGACGCGATTTTGTGAATATATATCTCGATTTCGTCCTCGCTGCTCGAGTTATTTACACGCTTTTAATTCACTTTCAATTGCACAATTAATCAAGAGCTAGGTACACCTTGGAGCCTACTATTCACATTCATTCATAGCCCCCTAAAAAGCTATATAAACTTTTTAGTTTCCCTGTGCGTGTTTTTGGGCCGCTTGAAGTTCAACGGAGCGTATGAGCGATTTTCGAGTTGTCGAGCCTCTCTTTTCGTTGTGTGTTTGTTGAACTCTTTCTGTGTTAATTAAACACTTAAATTTGGCCGCGCTTTGTTAAAGCTGTCATAATACAGACTACAGACTATCCCCCTACACCACCCCCTTCAAATACAATTGCATTTTTTTCCGAATCTGTTCCGTTTTTCGTGTGCGCAAAATGATTGATTCGATTTCTCAGTGGCAGCCAACGCACAATGGGCAAAGCCAAGCTGGATTTATGGCCCTCTGATTCAGAGTGCATGAAATTTTTCATTACATGCAACGCGCGGGCTGACCTCGAAGGAGGAAATACTCTAATTAAGATTTTAATTTGGTTTTTAATATGGTAAATATTTTAAAATATTAATCTTTAACCCATTCTTTATTCTCTTTAAATATTACTTTGGGAATATCAAATGTAAGTTTATAAAACTATAAAATCTTTCTGTAAAGAGTTACCAACCTCTCATTATTGGAATGCTACCCCTCCTTTACTGCACAGCAAGGCAGTTCAAATATTTTCTGATTCCGAATCAAAGTCGAAGTCGGACTGGAGTCTGTGACTTTTAAGGTGGGTCGTCGTGAATAGCGGAAATTCCACATGCGATCGGCTTGCAAAACAAACAAACTCCAAGAGTCAACCACCGCCTCTTTTGCCATGGATACCCCGCGCCAAATGGAAATCAAAGGCGCATTGAAAATGAAAATGAAAATGCGAATACTAAAAATATCTCTCAGTTGCCTAGATGTTTGAGCAGCAGAGACACCCGAGCTTCTCGGTTGCAATAACATTGACATTTAGACTGCGAACCGAGACCTGGTCCGGGCCATTCATAATTGCACATTTGCCATAAAGAGCACAGCGAATCCGAAACCAAAACCCAAACTCACAGATGCCACAAAACAAATCCAAGTCGCGACACAGAAACTGTCACAACGAAAACGAAATTGAAATCGAACGCACCGAAAGTCCACAAATCCACTAACCTTGTGCCCCGTTTTGGGCCATAAAAAACTGCGTATCGATTGCATTGCAGGGAGAAAAAAAAACCGTTTAAAGGGAATTAACTTAAACTTTTTGCCAATGAATTTTTATAATCATCTTTTTAATAAGTTGAAAATATTTAAAAAAATAATAACGAAAACTTATGTATGTTTGAAGGTTTGAGAAGTAAAAATAATGAATATGATTTTCATTTTTAAAATTAAGAAATATTTATTTTGAAAGCTTAGAATATATATTAAGGGAACTTATCTTATCTTATTATATATTTTATTAGTTTTTAGTTAATTTAAAAATATTTTATTACTGAAACTTCTCTTGGGAGTAAGTCTTAAACTTTTTAAACTACATTTTATGTATTTTATTTATACAAATCAGAAGGCCAAGTTAATAATCTATTAACCCAATTTTGTTTGTATACAAGTCTTAACTCATACTTAATCATAATTTCCTGCAGTGTAGACTTTGTGCTCTTTCCATAGGAACAGCTATGGTCAACGGAGTCGTTCGGGCCAGGCCAATTATAGCGCACTTGTCTGCGGACATGAAGTGGTGGCCAAATAGCCATGGCTTCCATAAGCTGAGTGGGAGTGGGGCCAGGATTTGTTTTTTTATCTGCCACATGTGGATGCCGCAAAGTGCATTGATCAAAGCTTTATATTTCCTTTCTTTTTTGCTTTATTTTCCTTGCAACATGTCATAACGTCAAACAAATGCTGGGAAAACTTTGAATGACTTTTGATTTTCGATTCGCCAAGAAGGCTTATGGTTAAAGCTTACACGCTTATCATTAACTGATAAATAGGTTATTGTTAAGTAACCGTGTTGAGTAAGTCTACTTAATTAGTTTTTAGTACTATTTAAGTAGTCTATCAACGACATAGGAACCTATAATTAGTCGCTTGGGTTTGTAATTTGAATAACAACAATAATAGTTCCCACCCCATTAGATCAATTATTGGTGATTAGCATATTAATAGGTCAATGACTGCTAATAAGAGCATTGTCTGTCGTGAATGCACTCGGAAAAAATATGGAAAGTAACCTGTTTTTAAAGGAATATTTCTTATGTCTTGACTAAGCCAACCGTAAACTCTGTTAAAGTTTTTAAGACTTTAGATTTTCCTTTAATGGCTAAGCTTTTGAAATGAGATCATAATTCAAGAATTTTCTTATATTTTAGAAGATATTTTTCTAAGTGATTGACTTCTTTCAGCGGAATTACGGAATTAATCAGTTCGTAATTTCCTGACTAGCTTGTATTACGAAATCACGGAATATATTCCATAGCCTTTCTATAAAAATCCCCAGTAGGGCGAAGAAAGTCTTACTGTTAAGATCAACCTAATCGAGATCTACTACTGGTTTTACTAGAAAGAACTTTGTCAGAGATGTTGTTATTATTGATTACTGGAGCTCTGGTCATGCTACTCGTCTGGGATTACGGACGAAGGAGTCTGCGAACTGCACTTTTTCGAGAGATCCAAGATCTCGGGACCAGTTTCGATTCCTATATTGGGCAACGGTTTGCAGGCCTTGTTCTTCAGGCCAGAGAGTGAGTAGTGGAAGGGTATCCTGATCCTGACTTATAAATTTACTTCCTAAGTTCGATCTACTTAAGTTTTACCCTTTTTTTAAGACAAAGAACTTATCTGTTCTAATCCCTTTCAGATTACATACAAAAATTCGGCGACTATTTCAATAAATATGGTAAAACCTTTCGCCTGTGGGTCCTGGGAGAATGCCTAGTTTACACCACGGATCTCAAGTACTTCGAGGCCATTCTTAGCAGTGGCACCCTATTGAAAAAGGCTCATCTCTATCGATTCCTGGATGATTTCCTCGGCGATGGCATCCTTTTGAGCACGGGACACAAATGGACTTCACGACGAAAGGCTCTGGCCCCAGCATTTCATTTTAAGTGTCTGGAAAACTTTGTGGAAATCATGGACAGAAATAGTGGAATTATGGTGGAAAAGCTGAAGAAGGTGGCAGATGGCAAGACGTCCGTGGATCTTTTCAAGTATGTTTCTCTGGAGGCTCTTGATGTGATCACAGGTATGTTTTTATTTTTTTATATAATACATTTAAATTTAAATAGTTCTTATATTTCAGAGACTGCCATGGGTATCCAGGTGAATGCCCAAAGCGATCCGAACTGTCCCTACACTAAGGCTCTTAAGAGGTGGGTTTATCCTTAACTTGTAGAATATTCTTTTTTATAATCCATATCCTTTATCAGCGTGGTCTATATAGAATCCAATCGCCTAGCAAGTGTTTCTCAACGTTACGACTGGCTTTTCCCCATTGCCGCCCCCTTTCGTTTACCGCCGATTGCAAAGGGATATCCGCCTTATGCAGGACTTCACAGACAAGGTCATCCGGGAGAGACGAGCCATTCTAGAGCAGTCAAAGGCTGATGGCAGCTATCGTCCTATAAGTGAGTAAACCTATCATTATAATCCCATCCATGATATATAAGTTTATACCTTATAGTTATGGGAGATGAAGAGACTGGCAAGAAATCCAAGATGGCTTTACTGGACATCCTCCTACAAGCCACAGTAGATAATAAGCCGTTAACTAACAAGGATATTAGAGAGGAAGTCGATGTCTTTATCTTCGCTGGAGATGACACTACCACTAGTGGAGTGTCCCACGCCTTGCATGTCATCTCTAGGCATCCCAGAGTCCAGAAGTGCATCTACGAAGAACTAGTTTCTGTGCTGGGTCAGGATCCCGATGCCCCAGTGACCCAGGCCAAGTTACTGGAACTAAAGTATCTCGACTGTGTGGTCAAGGAGACAATGCGTTTGCATCCACCAGTTCCTATCTTAGGAAGATTCTTACCCAAAGACCTTCAAGTTGGGGATAAGGTCATTCCCGGCAATACCAGCATTTTACTCATGCCTTACTACGTCTACCGAGATCCGGAGTACTTCCCAGATCCTTTGACTTTCAAGCCGGAACGTTGGTTGAATGGTAAGGAGGCCTCAACTGTACCTTTCACTTATATTCCCTTCAGTTCGGGACCAAAGAACTGTGTTGGCCAGAAGTTTGCCAACCTCCAACTGAAGACGCTAATAAGTAAGGTTATACGGCATTACGAACTACTACCACTTGGCGAGGACTTAAAGCCAACTTACACATTTATTTTAAGTTCGTCTTCGGGAAATCATGTTGGCCTTATGCCTAGGAAAAAGGTTAACTGAAAGGAAAATAATTAATAAGGTTAATTGAGAAGTCTGCTCGTTTTTATAAACGTTTTTCATATTAAACTATAAACATATATATATACTATAGACCAGGGCTGCTCAATGCCTATGCTTTGAGTGCTCATTTGTTTTTGTAAATCCTCGCTGCCCCTGGCTTGCTCTCTCATAAGCTTTGAGCGCTCGCTGCGGTATTCCACCAACAATTTTTCGTTTTCCTCTTTCCGACTTATTCCGTCGCCAAAGTCAATATATTTTGTTCTTGCTTCTTCCTTGATCATCCTCGAACTCCTTGCTTTGGAATAGCAAGCAATTTTTTGCTTTCCTCTTTCCGCTCATTACGTAGGTAACTGTTCTTCTGTCACTGTTCTTCCATCATCCTCGAATACTTACACTGGAATTCATTCCTTATTACTTCTGTTTGCACTTTGGAGTTTCTTTCGCATTTGGCGAGTCAGTAAAATGAGGGATGAATTGCTTAACAAGAAGAAGTGTTTTATTTCTCTCAGTGCACAGCTGCAAACCAACACAAAAGCGTCACTAAATATGTTCAAGTTTTGCTGTATTTGTATCAGTAAATTCTCTGCCGTATGACGAGCAGCCCTGTGTTAAAGACTTAAAAAGACCAAGCAAATCATTTTCCTTTAGTTTTGAATCAAATTTGTTTGAAATTTGGCGAGCTTGGTCGGGGTCAAATAGATTTGAAGTTGTTTTTGAGGCAAGGTTGTAATTTTAAGCAATTTATCTTTTATATTAACACCAAGTCTTAAATTATTTTAATAAGTTGTGGGGGTAATTTGCATGCAATTATAATCGCCGTTTTTAAGCTATTAAAATAAATTTTTTTTAAATTTTTAACACCCCAAGAGAACCACTAAAATTAATTTTCATCTTAAAGCCTTAGTTATTAATTTTTCAATTAAAAATAATTGCATATATGTCAATAAATCTCTAGCTTAGTGATTAAAATTCATTACACAATAAATAAAGTCTTTATAATTACATTTAAATTAATGTTTGTTTTATGTTTTTCTAACATAATGACATGCAATTTTCCAACTTCATCCTGTTAAATTATGCTCGAGAGGCTCTACCTTCTTTGGCATTCCATGACTCATCTGCTGCTTCCACTTAACCCACTTGGCAGTCGAAGTCGTCACCCACATATGTACGCTGCATTTCCATAAGCCAATTGCAGAAACCTCAACCCAAAGCCAAAGCCAGAAGAAAAAATGGGAAAAACTGACAACCAGCAATGACAGTTTTTTTTTGGTTTTTGTCACAACTCCAACATTAAAACATTCTTTACAGCCCATGGGCACGCTTCATTCCGCACACATACGACCGCATAAAAGTCAGCCAAAACGATCCCATCATAACTTAAACGTCACGTTGAGCCAAGAGCCATTAAAGTATTGGCTCCAAAAAAATAAATACAAGAAAAAATCACAGGCGACACAGTGAACCAATGACTTCAAACGATCGAAGGAAAAACCTAAAAGAGCTAAAAACTGCAATTTAAGAGTGTGCATGACGAGTTTTAAGAGAGTTTGCCGGCGATTTGAGACCCGATCCGTGGTTTGAGCTCGAAAGCGAAATCAAATCGAAACCGAAAGCCAAGCCGAGTTGAGGTGAGCTTCGTGTTGGACTCTTTCAGAAGAATACCAAAGAGAAGCTTTGGCTTTTTTGGCTTCTTCAGCCGAGGTTGTGTCTTTCAGTCGGTTTTTTGGCAGCCGATCGCGCGGATGCGGCTTAGAAAAAAGCGGGTTCAATAAATCTTCAAAAAGTGTTAAAAGTGAGTTTTACTTTTCTAGTTGAAAAAAAGGCTAAAAACGTTTAAGTTTTTATGTGGTTGATTGAGTGATGTGTGTATGGGCAATCTTAAGAATTGACAAAACTTCAAAAACTTGCAAAAGTTGGAAAAACGGGGAAAACAAAGAAGCCTCCCACAATTATTAGCATTCCAAAGCAAAAAAAATGCTCGACAAATGCTTGCCAAACGAAATTTTTATGCAAATTAAGACGCTGGTAATTACAGTGTAACAAGCTGAAATTGCCATGTGCAAACCGAAGCCAAAGTCAGTCTAATTAATTTTGAAGTTTGCACTTTTAATTAAAGCAGAAAAAAAAAAAATAAAGTTGAAATCAACATTGATTAACATAACATGAATGTCGAGCACTCACTCACATTCGCCTAACAACAATATGAAGTAATAATAATAAATTGTTGTAGAATCCCGACCGCAAAGTGAATCCAAAAAGCGTGGAAAAGTGACAAAAGTGCGGTTCTCGTGTGAGCTACAACGATCATCATCACGTTATTGAATGGGTGTTTTCTGGTGTGAAATACAAATCTGAAAATCTGAAAATCTGGTAGCTGCATTAATTACAAATTTATTCAAATAAGCAAACAGGTGGAACGTACACAAAGTGCAAACAAGAATTCAACGTCTGGCGTCTGATGACTGGGCAGGCTGTTGAGATCTCTTGTATAAACTGATTGATGGAATAATTGCTCTGATGACAAGCAGATTTAGTACACAGTTTTAACTACAGTTGATGTAACTAAGTAGAGAAACATAAAACCAAATCTGATCTGTGGATGTGCGTAAATCTCAATGAGGTATTAGACGATAAAACGAGTAACAGAGTTTTTCTTTTTCAAGATCTTCTTGATCTTCTTTCGAGGTGCTAAAAGTGGTTGGCAGGCAAACGGTTTCTGAGATCATTCTCCAGCTGAGTGATTATAAGAGCTTAGAAGATTAATACTATGTTGGTGGAATAACCTTTCTAAGATTATTTCAATGCTAACAAATTATCATAAAGCTGCTGGCAGAAGATTTCTGACATCATTTTAGCGCCTTCTGATCATTAGAAGTGGAAAGGTGATTATGATTTAGCTGGAAGGTGTTTTCGAAAGGAAAGCTTACAAATTCCAAGCAGAATAGAGTCTCTTAATTAGTCATTGAGCTTAACTCCTCAATCAATATAAAAAATAAACGTAAAAAGTAGTAATAATATTTAAAATAACACTCGATATTTTGCAAGATGATTTCCAAACATAACAATTACATGAATTCCAAGGATAATGATCACTATTCTGCTTAATTATACCCCATAAAACACTCTTGTATCAGACGTTAACTTAATAAATATCATGATCATGATCAATCAGTGGCAGTAAATAAATTGAAAGAGAATTCGCGAAACCATGACTGATCAGTTTTCGCGATCGCCCAACAAAAGGAACCCAAAGAATGTACCACAATGCGAAAAGTAATTAAAGTTATGGTTATGCGGTAATAAGCAGCCAGTTGAAAGAACAAGAGATTGCCATTGTACTTATAAATAAATGCATAGATCAAAAGTCAATTAAACCGACAGACGTGCCTCTATCCACCCACGATCTGTTTAAAATGTCAACAATGATCGATGGCTTAATCGGACAGAATCGTTGGAATCCATCGACTTGCCATCTAATAATCAGCCCAGTCCACCTCGACCCAAACACGATCGACCAACCATCGTTTTGGTTGTCATAACTCTCTCTAACTATTAGCTCCTCTTGATCTTCTGTAAGCCAAATGTGAGTCAGAATGCGAACTGGAAAAAACTGTAGCAAGTTGTGTGTATGCTCATGTAAGGCCATAATCGCTATGTTTAACTGCCATAATCCACCCGCTAACTGCAGGCAGCTGGCCTCAGCTACAAATATATAGATTCAGATTCAGATTCAGGTCCCGACTTACAATCGCACTTGGACTGGTCAGACAGAGGCTCTCTGGCTCACCTCGCATGGCACGTACTTCAGTCGAGGCAAAATAAAATCGAAAAGCATAAACAATTTATTTGTACAAAATAACTTTGAACTGTGCGGTTGCAGTTGCAGTTGCATTTGCTATTTGCTGTTTTGCTGCTGCAGAGCAGCTTCGAGTCACAAAATGACTTAACTTATAAGCTGGCATTTTGCAGTGGATGCTGCAATGTTTCAATGCAATTTACCTGGCCAGGAATGCAAGGTATGCACTTGGAAAAAGCTGGTTTTCTAATCAAAAATGTTGTTAAATTATCATATATAGAATCATAATTCTTTTAGAAGTTACTTAATTTTAAAGGTAGTTAAACTTTATAACATCAATAAAGTTTTCTGATGTTTTGAGATACTTAACTTCTTCAGAAAAGATCTATCACATTCAGCATACTCTTTTCCCAGTGCACTCTAAGCTAGTTTCATTCTCGTTCGACGTGTGAAATGGCCAACATCAGAGCCATTCAAACTTAACAAAACTATGTGGTGTTAGGCAAGCCATAAAGTACATGTTCGACCGATTGAAGATTGCACTACCTGGTGGGAGAGAGAGGTGCCTAGAGCACCTCCAGCACAGTGCTGGGCCATTGAGGCATGCCATTGCCCAAAGGTGTTCTAATGGCTGGCCAAAACCAGCGATTGAACAATGCCTGGAAGTGCCTTTCAGACCAAGATACAGACGCTCAGATATCGAATGCAGTAGTACAGTTACTAATTAGAGACAGGTTGCCAAAGATCTAGATAAGGTGCGTGACTGAGAGTGTGATTGAGAGGAGATCTTGGATCTTCGACTAACCACCAAAAATGGCCACTTTGTACTTCGATTACCTCATTTCCCACGCAACTTGACATGCTCATGGGTCGTTAACTATGTAGAGAAGAAAAAACCTTAAGTTTCCTACTCCACATTCACCGCAGACATTTAAGATCGTGGTTACCCCACCCATCGCTGTCGGAGTCTCGACCCTAAGGCAAGGTTCTTCACATCGCTCCGTCAATTGCTGTTATGACCTTTCTGTCGATTGCTCACTTGGCTAGCATTTTCCGCCGTTCAACTGACCTTAGCCAAATCTTTAAAGCCGCCAGCCAGAGTCTTAATAACCTGGCAAAAATGAAAAACAACAAAATGAGTAACAGATTTCGCACACCTGAGAGGAGTTGAAGAGGCGAGAGTTGAGTGCCGGACTGCAGCTCATTAATCGAGCAACGAACGGCAGAGCAGATGTTGATGTACTGCAAAAAATACTACCAAAAAATTGCTAAATTTGGTCAAATAAATATAATTACCAAATTGGTAGAAGAACATAGATTTTATTTTTTATAAATTATACGTTAGATTCTATGTGTCTATTAAGAAAGATCAAAGATACTTTTTTTATAACCAAACTTGTTTTAGACTCTTATAAGCCAAAATCAATCATAATTAAAAATGTAATATTTATGAGCTGCCAGTAAAGAAACAAAATCAAAAGCAATACTTCGATCTTATATTTTTCTCTGAGCTTCAGTCTCCGCCTCTTGAGCTTCCCCACAAGAAGCCGAGACACTTGAGGTAGCAGCATGGAAACTGGGCAGCTTGGCTGCTTGCAACTTGGCAATAAACAGGCGGCAGTCAGGCATTCAGGCAGCAACGAAAACAAAAGTGAAAAGGTCACTAGCACCAGTTGGGCAGCAAGAGGAGCAAATCCCGACTCGTAATGTCTGAACCAAAACCATAAGATATATATATATGTATCTTTGTATCTTTGTATCTTTGTATTTTTGTATCTTTGTAAAAACACTTCAGCACTCGACACTCAGCCAACTGTGGCCGCCAAGCTCAAGCGCCTTCTGATCATCGCACTCGTAATGCCAATCCAGGGGAAAAGGGTATAAAGTCGTAGTTACACGAATGCATAACACCGAGTGACGGCTTAAGTAACTCGGTTTGGGATTTCGTGAACCTAACAATTTGTTAAGGAAATGCTCTGCTTTGGAGTTTTACAAAAAAAAAGGATCTTAGATATATTAGAAATGTTAGTTAAAAAATCTTATAAAATTAAGCTGCATTTTCTTAGTTAAATTTAAAGCTTTAAAATGTTGGAAAAAGTTCTGTAAACTCAACATTCTCAGCCTAAAAGATCAATAATGAACTTAGAAAGGACTTAATTTGGCAAAATGAGAAACAATCAGGAAAGGATTAGGTTAAAAAATGATTACAATGATTACATTAAAGTCAATAAATCTCTTATTGTAGAAGAATATATATGATCAAGCTATATCTCTATGTAACTTTATCAATAAATCTGCCTTAAGTTGAGATCTGAGCCTCTAAACTAAGAGATTTGCATAATTCTCTGCAATCTGAGAATAAATCTGTGAAATATTTTCCCAATCTATTGCTCATAAAAAAGGAATCTTACTCCATAGCCTTAACCATTTTATTTGACATTTTTTTATATGCAATTTCCAGCTTCCCATTTATAATAACCGCTCCCAGGGCATCTATTCTTCGTGTCCGTTGGATTCGCCAGATTATTTCCAACTATTATTGCCGTTGTTTCGCTTGTTTCGCCTGCTCTTCGTTTTTCCGGCTAACAAGTTTTCCGCTGGCTTTGTGTGTAAGCTGCAACTTGCTGCAGAGTTACTGCAGCAGAAGCAGCAACTAGCCGGCTGGCGGCGATCTCTTGCCCAATGCAATTCGCATTTCAATTTTTCTAAACTATTGGCCAATACTTTTGGGGCTTCTCGTGTGCATAGATCGTATAAGTCTACGACCATAAGATTATTTATCACTGTTGGGGGGTCTTGGGAAAATCCAAACAGCCGCTTCTTCTTATCCATGTGATGGGTTTTTGTGGTTTTTCTTTCAGTGGAATTAATGAAGCTTAATTGAGGCAACCGTTTGAAGATCGGCAATCTCTCAGGTTGGGTGACAACTTTCCACAAATTGTGGAAATGCCGAAATGCATATCGCCAAGGCACTTTCATTTTCATCTGCAATTCGATTGCCTTTCGCAAATCTGTATTTGCCAGGAGAGCGGATCAGAGCCCTAATCTGCTGAAGAGCCTCAGCAATCGGTTTGATAAATGCAATTGCCAGCGGGTTATGTAAGGATGGCATAGGCTAAAGGGGCACTGAGAGAAAGGGGGAGTAATACTGATACGTTTTAGCTTGTAAAATGAAAAAATTATATTTCAAATATCCATTTTTTTAGTACTTAAATAATGATATCAGCTGATTGATATCATAACCATATGATATTCATATTTCATAATCTTAAATATTATTGATTTTCATTATTATTTGTGCAGCTTCTGGCAATTGACATTTGAAGGGGCCATTCGAAAGGTGAGCTCAGGTAATAATGGCCGAACAGAAGCAGCTGGAAATAATTGCAAATGAGACATCATCAGTCACCGGATTGAGACGTCAGCCCACCAAATATCCCCATGGCCTCAACATCACGGTCCAGACCATCGACGATGATAGTTTGGTCTCTGTGAAAGATCCCAGCGACTACTCCCGCACCACAGGCGAATCGTGCTGGAGTGAGACACAGAAATACCATATTGGAATGCTGGGCAGTCCCGAGACTCTGGCTGAACTTCAAGTTCGACGCTATAAGTACCCATTGACGGCCAATTACTATTTGAATGGCAAATTGGATAATTTGGAGAAGCCAACACCCTGGATGATGTTGGGCTATGCTCGACGCGCCTGCAGGTGGAAATATCTAAGGTGGCCCATTATTTTCGTGGCCAGTGTCTTGCTTTTCTTCGGACTGATCACCTACTGTCTGTGGCTGCACGATGTCAGTGTGGCTAGAGCCAAGTTCCTTCAGCGTCGCTATGAAGCCACTCTGACATCCACGAGTTCGAATAGCAATGAGGTTTGGGATGAGGAAACCACCAGCACCACCGAACGTGAGCCCCAGGAAACCACACGACTCAGAGCGATGGCTGATGATGGGGATAGCACAGAGTTGCCTGAAATATCATTTGCTGAGGATGGTGATTCGGAGGATGGGGACGAAGATGGCGATGCCGACTATGATGACACCTTGCTGCCAGCGGATAGCATCAGATTCACCTCAGGGCATCAGAATAGCTTCGGGGTACCCATCGAGCAGGACAAGCGAATGTTGCAGTTGCTCAAAGACGTGAGTTAGGATTAGCTTGCTTAATGTTACCCAATCCAACCTCTCTGCCATCTGCTTACCCTCTGTCACCATATTATCACTTTTCCTGCAGTTACTGCCCAAACCCCAGGCGACTCCTGCTGGCAACGAGCATCCTTTGACCCGTGTGTCCCCTACCCTGCCGCCTCCCTCGTCGGCCAGTGGGCGGCCAACACAAGCAATGACCTTGACCACCCCCTCGACGACAAACAGTGGCTGCCAGTCGACCATGCTGCCGATGTGCCAGGGTGTGCTCGACTATGATCTGACCTACAATCGTGAGGGAGCTGCTCCGCGGGATGCGGTCTCAATGGCTGCCTACGAGCAGCTCATCCGGTCCAACTGCTCGGCGAGGGCGGCTGAATTTGTTTGTGGGGCTCTGGAACCAGAGTGTCGACCCTTGCATATTGGACAACTGCCGCCATGTCGGCGCATCTGCAAGGGTAAGTCAGGGGATAAGTCATGGAAAATGATTTAATTTTTTAAAGTTCGTGAAAAATTTGATTAGATTAGAAGTTGAAGTGCTTGAGAACTTTATTTCCTTTTCGAGTTTCACGTTTAAAAGACATTTTTGCTTTCGATTTGATAGCCATTCTAGAGGCCTGTTCCGTAGTGATTGCCAACTCGGATGTCCTGAGTGAGCTCTTCGACTGCAACCTCTATCCCGATGCCCATGAGAGTCACAAATGCGAGGATTCCACTAGGAGGCGGGATCATTGCTATGGAAATGAGTTCCAGTGCCATGATGGGAGTTGCATTCCCCAAAACTGGCAGTGTGACAAGATCAAGGATTGCCTGGGTGGCGAGGATGAGGATGAGCAATGTTTGATTTGCGAACAGGACGAGTTCCGTTGCCGTTCGAATGAGAAATGTATACCAGAAAAGTTGAGATGTGATCAAAACTTCGATTGCTTCGATGGCAGTGATGAGGATGATTGCGATGAGTACGGATCGGGAGACTTGGGTCCTTTCGATGAGGCCGAACTGAATGCCTTTCCAAGGGTCTTTTCATATGCCAGTTTCTTGTCGCCAAACGAGACGAATGATAAGCTATATACCTATATAACGGCGACGACAGACGAGGATGCGGGCACGGAGACCAAATTCCAGATTCACAAGGTGGCTGCTCCAGCTCCACCACCGGTTAATACTAGTGCAGAGGAACCAGCTGGTGGATCAAAAGGATTTGGTAAGTGAAAAGTATCTAAATATTGTATCTAAACTTATGGCTGGACCTTTTGTCATTGTAGGTTCTAATGTTTAAGAATAGTTTATAATAGTTTTTAGGTTTCCTAAATGTGTGGCAAAATGTTTATAAATTGTAAAATATTTTAACCTTTCAGGATTGTATTTATCCTTTATTTTAGAACTTATAATATATTCCTAATAATAAGCCTAACTTTTTGTTTATAAAATGAATTTTCTCTTAAAAACTTCATCTTAGGTTAAACCTTTCTATAAATCATAATTTATCCAATTTAATTCTCAGTGAACTTTCGTGACAGCAAAGAGATTATGATGACCAGCGATTCGGAGAACAAGTTCAAATATTCCCAGAGAGCGAATCGCACTTCTGTGAAGTTTAGCACGTCCGCGCCCACAACTCCGGCGGCCAGAACGGCAAGTGCGATTCCCAGTTCGGCCTTGGCTCAGCAGCGTGAAAGGGACAGGGCCATAAGTACTACTAGCACCACTAGTGCCCCTTCAACCACAACCACATTTGACCCACCCACAACTATGCCTGAGCTCTATGAAGTGGTCACCACGCCAGGTGGCTGTCGCCCCCATGAACTTCGCTGCGTGAGTGGCAAGTGCATTACAGTCAGTCAATTGTGCGATAAGGTAAGGAAAGTTCTAAGTTCTTAATTTTAGAAATAAGATTAGAAGATAAGATGTTTAAAACTTATGCTTGAAATGTATATCTTTCGTTTGAGATATTGCATTTTAAATTTCGTTACGTATTTCTCGAGATTTTAAGGAATAAATTTAAGGAAGATGTACGCAGGCGTTGAGCAGCCTTGCAAGGGTCCAAGGCCTTGGACTAAACCAACTTGGCTACTAACTTAATAGAATTAGAAGCGCTTCCTAAATAAAAATAATAATTTCAAAAAAACCCCAATATACCCTTTTACTTTTCGTTTAATGGGTATTACCTGAGTTGCTGATAATATTTAATAAAATTAAAGTTCCACTGTGGGGTCTCGGAAAGTAGCCCCATTACAGCACACTGTGTAACCAGCTTCCTTTTTAGTATTAAAAGTGAGTCCTGAAGGACAACTAACTTCAGAGCAAAAGCCGTGATCCCTCTTGTTGGGTATTTCATATCTATTGTTGTAGGTCAGGAAGACCAAGCTCTGAGTGCCAGTTCCGTCCGCCTTCGTTCTGGTTATTTTTTTGTAAGTCCATGCGGGGACTGGATTCTTTGCGCCTTCGATAAGATAGGCTAACTTATCCACGCCACCTCGTTTTAGTTTCAGAACACCAAAAGCTCCAGTTCTAACAATTAATCCATGGTCATCCATCGGGAGACTTTGCACCCACCTCTCTATTACATTCCAATTTCCTCCATTAATGCTGGCGAACTGGGGCACCACGTTTACCAGCTTATACGTTGAGATTAGTTGATCTTCGAAGAGAAAGTCTGAGGAGGCGGTCAGGTGTCCACGATTAATAACCTCAGCTCCTTTGGCTATATAGGTTTGTCCTTCTGTAAAGATTTTTTTAAATCTTAAGTATATTTCGCCCTTGAAAAAGGATTTTGCATTAAAGGGCGTCATAACTGGATATGGAGAGAACAATTTATCCAACGGACGTGGAAGATCTATAAAAATAATATGACATTAAAAACTATTTTGATTTTCCGTCTTCTTTTTACAACTCACTTATTTTCTTTGGGTATATCCTGGCCTGTGAGTAACGAGCCCTTAAGTTCTTAGTATCGTAGCACACGTCATACAAAGTCAGGAATTTTCCATCGATCTTATGTCCAATGGAATACATAGTTTCCTTACAATCAGCATAGACGGTTTTAACGCCTTTATATAGCTCAACAGTGCTTTCAGGAGGTTCTGTTTTGCAACGAAGGGGCATCGCAGGATCAAATAATTTCTTTTGCCATTGCTTGTGCAGGTTGTTGGGTTTCCTTTCCACCACAATGCATAGTTAGGGTTAAATTCTGTTGTTACCACCGATGATAGTTGTAGTTGAAGATTACCCTCGCCATCCTGATAGGTGAAAATCCCATTGGAGCCAGAAACGTCTCTGAACGAGAATTGGCAATGTCCTCTTACTTGGCTCGCTGTTTGTTTAAAATACCTAAATGATTAATTTGTACTCCATTTATTAGTTTTTCTATATTTACCAAGAAGTGTGGTCAGTAAAAGTAGATAGACTTTCCCCATCATCCTTTCCTTTAGCACTGAGCAATATGGCTTGCTTTAACCTTAATTTATACTCTAAAGATAAGGTTTATTTCTTTTAAGCCATCTCGACGTATGGACACCCTTTATGGGTCTGTTCTTATAATTTTACTATATTCTTTAATCCAGAGTACAACGATCTGCGTATTCCTATTGTTTTTTTTGTTTATCCAACTCGACATATGCGCAATCTTTCTTAGAATTTTGCTATATTCTGTGCGTTTCTGCATAGCAGTGAATGTTTTTTTTTTGGGTTTTTCACAATATTTTTCTTATCAAAAAAATTCTTAGAAAAACAGCTTGCTTGCAATTTTATAAGTTTAAAGACAATCGGTTCCGAGAAGGATTGTTGGGTTGTCCGTGATAAGGTTAATAATGAGTAATAAGTAATCTGAAATAATTTTAAAACAAGAACTTATGATCTTTATGATCAATCTGAGATTTGTTATTTCTGAGATAAAAATACGGGAGGACATAAGGACCAACGGAAGGTCACTTGAATTTGGCTAACTTGTCTTGGTTTCAATCCTGATCATAAATTTCTTTTCCTCCAGCAAATTGATTGCCCCGATGCTGCCGACGAAATAATGTGCGTTTATCGGGAACGTCCTATTGGGAGGCGGCCACTTTTTACCATCCCGACCACGGATCCACCCTCAACATCATCATCAGCACCACCAGAAACAAGTACTATGACGACCACCACTTATCCGGTGACTAGTACAAAGCGTTCGCCGAGGACCACGCCCAACCGAAGTCGAAAGCCCAAGTCTTAGAGTGATGTATCTTGTATCTAATGTTTATTTATATCTCTATTACTTCCCCCATCATCTATGTATTTTCTATCGCTCGCTATATGTATGATAAATCTATGATATCTGTAAATCTTTGCTAGTGGCTAAGTTGATTAGTGTTTAGAGTTGTTTGACTATTTTTATGTGCGTGAAATTGTATTTTTAGCAATGAATAAAGTATAAGATGTGAGTAATCTTAGAGATTTGCCTCAAAATCGGGTAAGTTTGGTTTACTGTTCCCCTTTAGCTATCAATCTTGTCAATCTCCTCACTGACTAACCTTGTCAGGAGCATAAAAACAATCCAGAAAACATATTCTCTCCTTTTGTTTTGTACTTTCGAAAGCCATAAACATATATGGACAATGAGCTAACGAAATTCAAATGAAATCGATACAATTAAAATCGGGACATTATTGCATAACAATAACAACAACAGAGCAACCTTGGTTTTTGGTCACTCGACGGCCCACGCATTCAAAAGACCAAGACCATTTGGTTTGGGCAATTCAATTAACCAGTCCATTGTTATCGATTCGGTGGTGCAGGGAATGCCAGGGAGTCCATTATCTATGCCAGTGTGTGCCCAGCTGACTGCAGTACACTGGGAGAAAGTGGTAGATACCATTGATATGTTATGGGATATAAGTATTTAGAAGAAGGTCTGATACTTGTAACTATGATTTTCATTATTTTTTTCTGAAATAAAAATCGAACTAAAATGTAACATAAATACATCTAATGGTTATATTTTAAATATATTCCAAACAGTTTAGAATGCTCAAATTCGTCTTACGACAGAGTAGTTACTCGCACAAATACAAGAAACAGTGCACATATTTAGTGATACTTTTGTGTTCGTTTGCAGCTGTGCACTGAGAGAAAAAAAAACACTTCTTCTTGCTAACCAATTTGTCACTCACTTTACTGTCTTGGCATATGCGAAAGAATCTCCAAAGTGTAAACAGAAGTTATAAGGAATGAATTCCAGTGTAAGTATTCGAGGGTGATGGAAGGACAGTGACAGAAGAACAGTTAGCAACGGAATAAGGTGGAAAGAAGAACACGAAAGATAGTGGTATAAAAAGGAGTTCAAGGATTATCGAGGAAGAAACAAGAACAAAATGTGTTACAGTTACCTACGGAATAAGCGGAAAGAGGAAAGCGAAAAATTCTTACTGAAATAGCAGGGAGCTCGAGGCTGATCAAGGAAGAAACAAGAACAAATTGTATTGCAGTTGGCGACCAAATGAGGCGGAAAGAGGAACACGAAAGATTGTTAGTGGATTAGGGGCGCGAGCACCTAAAGCTTATGGACGAGCAAGTCGATAGGCAGCGAGGACTTACAAAAACAAATGAGAATAGGCGTTCAGCCCGCCTGGTTTATAATATTTCTCTCAGTGCAAAACCAAATTTAATAGGCAGTTTGACAAACAAATCTGGCTTTTATAATGCAGCCCCAAAATTTAGAGAGACAACAGCACTTGTCAGGCCAGATTAAATTGCAATCTGTGGTCCAATAGACAACTCCTCCCCGAGATCCCAACTCCTCTGGTCTAGCAACCCAAATCGAACACTCGTTGACAGCCCATTGCCGTGGAAAATGTTCGCTTAGGGGCTGCTGATGATGATGGCAGATTGGCGAAAATTCTACAGCCGAATATCTGCAGAACCACAAAAGTTAAATGCGCTTTGATTTCACCCCAGAATCGTAGGAAAACCGATTGGCAAAAACAAAGGGAAAACAATGCGAGAAGCGAGTTTTAGTTCCTTTTTCCGGGGCACTTTTCTGATTGATTGGCATCAAAAATCCGCTTTTGGCATAACGGCAAATGCGATTTGATTGCTGTCATTGTTCGGGGCCGAGAGACTATTAATATATGTTTTCGGCACAATCCCTAATCCCAACTTTGGGCAATTGGGCGAAGGCGAAGGCGAAAAACCACCCGAAAAAAACAACCAGAAAAATAGGGATAAAAAAATGATATTCGATTTCCTGTATTTTACTACTTTTTTTGTGTGCCCTGTCCTGCTCTCCTGCCATTTGATACGTTTCATACGCATTTGACAGCTGTCAGGCATCTACATTTTCACCTTAATTAAGTGATATTAATCGTCTTTGCCAATCTGAAACTTTCATCTCTAAACGTTTTGCTTTTGTAAAAAAAAAGGTGCGAAGCGTTTAAAGGACGCGTGCCGGAAAACGCCCTGAAAACTGAACGGAAATTTAAAACCAGACAAAAAAAAACTCATTCTCTTGTCTGGCATTAAAAGCTTTTTCACCTTGGCCCTTAGAATCGAATGGAGTGGCTTTGGTCAGGGGCCAAAACTCCGAATGGACACGCATAATTTCCATGTTTAGTGCCCTTTTTTTGGGGCACCGACGGACCTTTTCCTCTCCTTGAGCCAGGTCACTGGCAATATTGTTAATGTAGTCTATTGAAATGGCCTCCATTTTGTGTGGGCCAACATCCCAGGGCCTAAAACAAGTGTGTTCAACAGACTTTGGGACCATATGCGAGCATTAGAATGTCTTGCTGTCTCTCTCTGCCCAGCGGGGTGGCCATCACATTAATTGAAAATTTTGTAATTGAATTCGGGTCTTTGGGTAATGGTAAAGTAGGAGGAGGGGAGAGCAGGGTTTTTAATTGCTTAAAACGATTCTGATTGTTCTGGGAATTTAATAGTTAATATGAATGAGAATGCTTAGTAGGATGGTTCTTTCATCCTCGTAATGTAAAGGGTGGCCCACGAAAGATTTGCGTTTTAAAACCAATATTTATCAATATTTTCCAATTTTCTTCGGCCCTAAACTTAATCATTTCGTAAACCGCAAACCTTCTACTAAATATCTGACACATTGCCAATGACATTCGAGATGTCAAACTCAAAATTATCGATAGTTAAAAAAGCAAACACTACAGGGGCCACCATGTATATTAGAAACTCAAGTTCCTTAAGCTGGCTGTATTGTATCAGCTTAAAGAAAGGTCACAGTGGGAGTTCATAGATTACAAAACTAATAAAATGTTGCAATAAGATTGCCTAAATTGCATCAAGAAACCCCAAATGCAATGCTTTGTTGCATATTGTTGCACAGCCAAGATGCCTATCTACCCGTATCCTTGAAGATCTTAGAAAGAGACTGACTGATCCTGCGACCCCAGAAGGGTGCTTCACCCCTCGAATATCCCGCGGTGAACCGTTCTTATGAGCACCCATAATTACTAGGCTCATTGCAGCCGAGTTACGCTTGATCGTTTTCAAATTGCACGCGGAGCACACTTCCGCCCCAGAAAGTGAACTTTAAGGATCGGTTCAAGGAGTTGACATAATTGTGCCAGCAGCGAAATGGAAGGAGGAAGGAGGTCCACAGGCTGCACATTTTGTAACGTTTTGAAAAAAAAAATAAAGGTGCAACCCCCTTTTTCTCGGCAAGAAGTTAACCCATCTGCCTGTTCTTTTCCCCCTTGCTGCATTCCTTGCCTACCCTAGGTAATGGGTGTGGCATTATCGGGGATTTCTGTGCATTCCCTCTTACCCAATGGCCCACTCCAAAGTACAGTTTAGTCATTAGAGCAAAAGCACAAATCTTGGAAAATCATTAAGCGCATTTTCCAATTGATTTCACTGCTCGCAGCGACCACAGCACGAAGACAAAACTTGACCAAAATCAATAAGCTGGCCGAAAGGCAACCGCAAGGCAATACATTGACAAGTTGGAAAAGGGAAGCCGAAGGGAAGTGACTCGGAGATTGTCACTGCGGCTTGGGTGTCTGACCATTCAGCCATGGATGGGGCTAGACAATGACTACACCCAGCATGTTAAGATTTTTGGGAAGTATTCTCAACGTTTTGGGAAAGTTATTGGATGAGAAAGCTATTTAAAAATGTTAAAAAAATCTACAAAATAAAAAGAAGTCTTTACAAGTACAGATTTACACATATAAATGGTTTATTATTTCATAATTTATTTATAAAGAAAATAAAACATTAATATTACAAAGAAAATCTCCACAAAATTCTTAACATAATAGTAATTTTAGTAATGCTTCTTAAAAGGGCATCTCAGGGTCTAAACTGCCTTTTGTTTACCCAAAACCAATACCGAAATTGTGTCGCATTGTTGCAGTATTGCTGATGGGAGACCCCCCTCTGCTCCCTCCCGTTTTCCAGGTCTTGTCTGCCCATCAATTCGCAAAAGGAAAAACGCAAACAAAAACCGAAACCGAAAAACCAAAAGTGAAAATTGCTTTTGGGCAGCATCTTTTTACGCCTGATTGCAGCCAAAAGTGTCATCGGCCGCTGCCCCTCTTTTGTTTGTAGGTTTTGGGTTTGGTACTCGCCTAGGTCCTAGGCTAGGTTTTCCTTTTTCTTTTTCTCTACTATTGAAACGATATAAAGGCCCACACACACCCCTCGTCACATATGCAAACACACATTGTGAATGATTTACGACAAGGCCGTACAGGATGCTCAAAGGATAACATCGAATGTTACAACAGCAGAAGGAGAATGTCGGACACATTTGGCCTGATCATTTGCATAAATGCTCATTAAATCATGTGACTGCCGGGCAATCTATATAGTTTTATGGAAAAAGTCTCCAGCCGGTTGACCAGTTTTCCTCTACGATTTTAGGCTCAGGCCCCCCCTCGTTAATAGCCTCACCTGGAGGCTCGAAAGCCAGACACTTCGATGTGGCTTTTCATTTGCATTTGGATTAGCCTCGCACCGAATGTCAAGTTCAAAATGATTTACAGACTTTTTGTTTCTCGGGGGTAATTAATTGGCTGTTTGGCTGTTGGATTGTTGAAATGTTGGACTGGACATGGCGATAGTTGATACAAAGTGTGGCATCCTGTGGAAAATGAGGGAAAAAAGTGGCCTGGTGAATGGTGCGCACTGCGCAGCTTGTTTGGCGTGTGCCTAATGAGTGTTCACTGTGCCGTCATTTGGGGGGTAACTAAAAAAAAAAATAGGAAATCGCAGGCATAACGCTTGAAGCATAAGTGGCATAGCGAATTTTCCAAATGCTGCGATTATTAGCGCTCATTGTTTAGTGTCGACTAATGTGGCTTGCAAAGTCATAAGGAAAAACTAAATAAATGTTAAAGTTTTAACAAGAAAGTTCAACTAAGTTGCTGTGTCTTAAAGATAGTTTTGTATATAAGAAACTTTAAAGTCATGCTGAATAAGA